AAAGCCGGGAAGCATGGCCACGAGGAGGCCGGCTCTTCCTTGAAGCAGCCCCGCCGGGAACGCGTTTACATGCCCGCCGACCAGTACACGCGGTACTAGGATCATGACATCCCCCTGCCATTGACCGACGTCCACCTGTCGAACGATTGGCATCTGAACCCGGAAGGGTCACAGTCCCAACCGTTCTGGCCTCCAAACGCGCACCGAAGGCGGAGATCCGCTGTTGTCGAGCTCAGCTCCCCGACGACCTATACCATGAACCGTTGTTTGCCCAGGACAGCCCATGTTGGGACACCTGGTTGTACGACAAGCACGACCAGTGATACTAGTCACGCTTCACCACCCGTGTGTGTGCTCTAGCACACGAGCCTCCACGAAGGCTCGTGGTGAAGGCGGAGAAGGAGGAAGAGGAGGAGGAGGCAGGTTGGGCGAGGCACCTAGCAAGCTAGGCTATTTCCAAGACACAATGTTCGGAGTTTTCTAAAACTTGACAGTTTACCTACTTGCATGGGTGCATCGATGCATCTCCCTTCATCAAACTAGATGAGGGTGAGAAGCGATGCTCATTCCGGAACACACTAGTTCATGTTTATGTTCAAAGTTGAGTAGGCACCGAACTATTTCACCTGCATGTTTCAGAGGTCTCCAACTGCAGGGAGAGATTCAAAGAGATAGATGGGCTGAGTGTTGGGAAACGTTGCATGGAAAACAAAAAAATATTCTACGCACATGCAAGATCTATCCATGGAGATGCATAGCTACAAGAGGGGGAGAGCATCTTCATACCCTTGAAGATCGCTAAGCGAAAGCGTTTATCAACGCGGTTGATGTCATACACCTTCACGGTCCGCCCCGGTCAAGTATCGAACGTACGACACCTCCGCGTTCGGCACACGTTCAGCTCAATGACGTCCTTGCCTTCTCGATCCAACAAGAGAAGCGAAGTAGTAGATGAGTTCTAGCAGCACGACGGCTTGGTGACGGTGGAGGTGAAGATCAATCTCTGCAGGGCTTCGCCAAGCACAACGAAAACTATGACGGAGGATAAAGTAAAGGGGACAGGGTTGCCGGCACACGGGTTGGTGAATCTTGATGTGTTCCGGGTGCTAGTCATGCCCCTCTATTTATATGTTGAGACCTGAGGTTGAAACTTGGAGAAAGAGCCTCCTCAAAGTCGATTTTGCCCGCAATGAAGAGTCCTTCTTGGACTTCCAGGACCAAGCGCCACAGTCCTTGGCGTCTGGGCCAGACGCCATGGGCCTCGGTATCTGGCCCAGGGCCAGACGCCATGATCTCCGGCGTTTGGACCCTGACCTCTGCAAAACATCCTTTTGCACCCACCTAAAGCCCCATGGGCCTTACCCTTGGCCTAACCATATCATCCTATATATCAATATTTACCTCTGTACCATTCCGGAGCTCCTCATCATGTCCGTGATCTCATCTGGGACTCCAAACAACATTCAGTCACCAACATACATAACTCATATAAATACTATATCGTCAACGAACATTAAGCGTGCGAACCCTACGGGTGTGAGAATGATGTAGACATGACCGAGACGCTTCTCCGGTCAATAATCAATAGCGGGATCTGAATGCCCATATTGATTCCTACATATTCCATGAAAATCTTTATCGGTCGAACCTTTATGACAACATACGTAGTTCCCTTTGTCCGTTGGTATGTTACTTGCATGAGATTCGGCCGTCGATATCTCCATACCTAGTTCAATCTCGTTACCGGCAAGTCTCTTTACTCGTTCCGTAATACATCATCTCGTAACTAACTCCTTAGTCATTTTGCTTGCAAGCTTATTATGATGTGTATTACCGAGAGGGCCCAGAGATACCTCTCCGATACTCGGAGTGACAAATCTCAATCTCGATCCATGCCAACTCAACAGACACCTTCGGAGATACCTGTAGAGCATCTTTATAATCACCCAGTTATGTTGTGATGTTTGATAGCACACAAGGCATTTCTCCGGTATCCGGAACTTGCATGATCTCATGGTTGAAGGAACATGTATTTGACATTAAGAAAGCTGTATCAATAAACTGAACGATCATATGCTAAGCTAACGGGTGGGTCTTGTTCATCACATCATTCTCCTAATGATGTGATCCCGTTATCAAATGACAACTCATGTCTATAGTTAGGAAACCTTAACCATCTTTTGATCAACGAGCTAGTCTAGTAGAGGCTATCTAGGGATACGGTATTTGTTTATATATCCACACATGTATTTAAGTTTCCAATCAATATAATTTATCATAAATAATAAATCTTTATCATTAATAGGGAAATATAATAATAACAACTTTATTATTGTCTCTAAGGCATATTTCCATCACATAGTACAATGCAAGGCCAAACCCAATATCGGAATCATTCCATCACCTAGAAAATTCATTCCATGTGCGGTCTTGCCGTCTCATAGGGTTGCAGAGCAGAAGGATTTGCGAGCTACAGCGCAGTATAAATCAATCGCTAGTTTAGTGTTAATTTTCCGGCCAGCAGAGACCTAAGGCTAGTCATAGTGGGAGTAACTTAGCTAGTAACATAGCGCACTTCAAAAAATTGTTGCTTATGTGGTAAATAATTAATGTGTCAAATATAGACAAATCTATATGTAGCGCGTACCCACCACTTTGCTAGTATTGTCAGTGGGCCGGCCCACCTAACCATTTTAGCAATTCATTTTTCTGAGAAGCTCGTCCTGTTTTGGGGAAGCTTCCAAAAACATCTAGGACCGTTTAAGGGATGGTTTTCTCTAGTTTTTATAGGATGGGTTTTGTTCTTTTTTGTGTGTTCCTTTTTTCTTGTTTTACTTTCTTTCATTCCTGAAGATTTTTCATCAAATTAGCTAACTTTTTTTCAGATTCGTGAAGATTTTTCAAATTCGCAAACATTTTTTAAATCCGCAACTTTTTCCAAATTTGTGAACAATTTTCAAATTGATGATTTTTTTTCAATTTCATGAAAAAAATCAAATTCACACACTTTTTCGAATTTATGAACTTTTCAAATTCACAAACTTTGCAAATTTGCAAACATTATCAAAATGCATGAAGTTGTTTCAAATTCATAGAATTTTTTAAATTCATGACCTTTTGAATATTCGTGAACCTTTTTCAAATTTGTAACTTTTAAAAGATTCATGAACTTCTTTTAGATCCGTGAAGTTTTTTCACATATACGAACTTTTTCAGGTACACATTTTAAAAATGGACTTTTTTTGAAATATGAACATTTTCTAATTTAAACCGGCAACAGGTTGTTATAGTGAATAACAGAGTAGAAGAAGAGGAAATCCAGAAATGAAAACAAGGGATTGACAGAAAAAATAGGCGAGCGAGCGCTGGGCCGTGAGGGGACTTGCAAATTGTTTGGGAAATGAGGCCCACAAGAAAGTGCAGTTTGAACGCCCCAAAGTACATGTTCCGGGATAGGGCAATTCGAACCCGCATCTTAGCTGCACCCACCGATGAATAGTAAATTTAAAATAATAATAAATAATTCTTATTTTTAAAATTTATTTCTGTTTTGAACTTATCTGTTCATCGGGTGCAACTGAGCCTGGGCAGATGTGAATTTCTGCGCAATGCTACACCTACGAAAAACATGCTACGTGATTTACATAAAGGCTTAATTGGAAGGTTTTGGTTGGATAAAATCAAGGAAAAGGGGCCCACCCCGTTGAATTCAGGGAAGCGGTGGAGAGATTAACGTGGAAGGTTACATAAGGGCCCGTAGGAACTTTCGTAAAGTTTAGCATTTTCGGTCTTCTCTTGGGAGTTGGGACTTGGGAGTACGTACGTAAGTATTAGAGCAAGTACAATAAGATGATGTAGGCAGTTAGAGAGCAAGCATCAGCTCATCAAATCTTCTGCTTCGGGTACAACTGAAGCTGTTTGTTTTCAAGTAATGTACGCAAGCAAGTTTTCATCCGCAAGAGACAGGGTGCCGGGTGAGCTGGCAAAGAAAGTCAGCAGTTAATAAAAAATTTAGGTCAAATTAGCATTTCATTGGAGTATGCTTGATATAAAAATAATTTACATGGAAAACCCTTCTATTCAAACTTTAAAATATATTTTATATTATTAAAATAGTTTAAAATATATAAATAAAAAATGTGTACGAATTATTGTGTTATCCGCATTAGACAAAATGAAGTAAAAATAATTTGAAACTTTAGTACTCCCTCCATTTTTATATACTAGGCCACTGTCAAAATAACAATTTGCAGATATACAAGACCACTATATTAATGGTGTTTGCCTCGTAGTACTAACAAAATAGGACATTAACTATCCCTTGCATGAATGCCGGAGTGGGAGCATTGGCTCGATGTGCATGAAAGAGAAGAATACACATTAATTTACACAGCAAAGGAGTGAAGCTGGCTTGCAACATTGACTTAGAAGACATTAACTTTTACCTTGGTACCTGTAATATGAGTTTGTGGCCTTGTATACAAAAATGAAGGGAGTACGTAAGTATAAATACTAAGAAAAAGGACGGATTCATTTGCAGCAATAGATGTCTTTCACATACAACTAAGAAAAAGTAATTTCCTTTTTGACTGGCAGTTCCCAAAAATATATACTTCAATGTAAAAAAGCCTTGTGGTTAGTTTTTTATTTTTTTTATTTTAATTCTAGTTGCACCTATTAGAGAAACTAGAAGAAATATGGAAATGTTCAAACGGAAGATTAAACCCAGTTGCTAAATGAATCCCAATTTGTTGAACATTATTTATGAGACCCTGTTCTACTACTAGGTTCACAGTATAGGAAAAAAATGGAGGAACTGAAAAAAGAAAGGTAGCAATGGGATAGGAGTACATGTATGAAACAGACGATTGAAAAAAAAAGGAACTCTGGAAAATTAGGGCGCTTAATTTGCAGGAAAAGAGATACCACAAGAATGGTAAAGATGTCCATTATCAGCTCAAAACTCCGTTTTTGCTGCAATTATTTGCTTGACTCGAGTGCACAAGAATTCCAAAAATGACGACTGGGTGGATTTTCTTTCATTAATTCCTGTACTTCTCCACTGGAGATAAGACAGAAGGGAAAAAAATAACATCTAGTTTTCAGTCTATCTATTCTCGTGAATCAAAGGGGTGAATACTAGTGTTGCAGGAAAAATTCATACTCCAAATCAATGAAGATCACATGTGATCCGTCCGTACCAGTTCATCAGTGATTCCTTCCTCCCAAATCTGCCCAATACCTGCACACATATATGGACCGACAAAGCTATGGTCTAGCTAGAAAGATAGGTCACTGTTCTGTTATGCGCTTTTGGGAGTAGTAGCTTTGCTCGTTCCGGCAGGAAAGCATCCAATGCCCGGCATTCTATGTTCTATATCTATCTATGTGCACCTTTGGGTTCAAAGAGAAGAAAGCTATGGTTGATAAGACAAAAGAAAAGACTGTCTTAATAAGGAAAAAAAGCTACGTACACACATGTACATATATGGACCGCGAGCAAGCTAGATAGATCACGGTTCTGTTCTGTGCGGTGGGTCATACAAATATTTCCTCAGCAAACAAACCGAGCTGCATCTTCTGGTCCTCTTAGAAATACGAAATGATCTCCACGTGCACAAGTATCTCTCACGCATACTCATCGATTGCAATCCATGCATGCATCCAGTGCAGTATCCTCCTCTTGATGAAATATATGAGAAGGCAGTTCAGAATGGGGATGCCAGTCTGATGTGTCTCCTTGATTTCGCCAAACCAACCTAAATCCTTTGACGTGTAGACGCTTGCCGTATTTACAGCAGGGGCCACGATTTTGTCGGCACGGTGAACAGACACTGCCTCGACAGAAAGAACTTGCCACAAGTAACTTTGTCCATCTAGCAAGCAAAGGGAGAGGAAGCGAGTTCTAGCAAAGAAAAAACAAGGAGAGAGGGAGAGAGATAGAGAGTTCTATTTTCTTCCAGTACAACGTGGATAGACTAGGGGTGGACACAAAGTTCTCAGCTCGTGAGCTTAATGAGTGCTCAATAGCCAATAGCTAGCTTCTAAATGAATTAAGCAAATCATTGGTTTTAGCTCGCTAAGCTTAACGAGTTTTCAAAGCAACACACCACATATTCTTATCTTAAGTTACACCATCTAATCAACCCAACCCAGCCCATAGGAGTTCAATGTATGGTTTGTTCCAAAATCTAACAATTAATTTTGTGGCCAAATTGTTGAAAAATTTGGATTCCTGCTAGATATTTGCGGTTGTGCCGTTAAGTGTTAACTAGCGCTCACGGGTGCTCACCAACTTAACAAGCTTCAGGCGACTGTGAGCAAGGTTTTCACTTGTTAAGCTTACCAAACATAGAGAGCACGAGCTTAATGTGCTGAGTAGGAGGGATTTTGCTTGTTGAGAAGGTAGTCTTATGTTGATCATCCCTGTCATCTAGTGTAGAGCTGAAAATAAAAAAACATGTTTTACATTAGTATATGACTAAGAGATGACATCTAGGATAAGGAACGGAAAATTTGTTTTAAGAGATCATCTCTTAGTTCCCTCGTTCCCTCCCTCCATCCATCCATCCATCCATCCTATACGTGGCATCATCACTAAAACGAAAGAAGACCAATATATCATCCCATTGTATGTGCACTCCTAATGAAGACTCCACATGCTCCAGAGGGCCCAGCGGCATTCAGCCTTTACCTATTTCTCTCTCAATCTTTGCCTCCTTTGCTCCGTTGCCTATTTAAGAGAGGAGAAGGATGATGAGTTAAACCACAAACCAAAGAAACCTCCACTAAACCCACAAGGAAGGTGGAGCACAAGACGAGATTGGAGTAACCAGGTATAGATCAATCCGACCACTCCCTCGTTCCCTCTCCCTGCTATTGTGATGTTCACCATTCTGACATAAATTTTTTAAACTATTATGACAGTGATAGAGATTATGGCTTCACCATTTTGTGGCATCTCCACATGCGGACTCAATGCCGCCGCTCCTACCGGATTCTCCTCCAAGAGGACGCTTTCCCTGGTTTCGCCCACATTTGTTTCACTTGCCCAGGAAATCAGGCCTAGGAGAAGGTGCAATTTCAGAGTAAATGCCGCAAAGGAACTGTATTTCAACAAGGATGGGTTGGCTATGAGGAAGCTGCAGGTGAGTTGTACAATCTAATCACCCTCAGTTAAATAATAATACTATATATCGTCTATGTCGTTCTGTCTTTTTGGTTTTAGATGCAAATTTCTGATTGCATATTTCCTTATCAGAATGGAGTGAATAAGCTGGCAAACCTGGTTGGAGTTACTCTTGGTCCAAAAGGACGGAATGTTGTCCTTGAGAATAAGTACGGGCCACCTAGAATTGTTAATGATGGTGTTACGGTAGCGAAAGAGGTACGTGTCATTACGGTTTACTCATACCATGCAATCCTAATATAAGTTGAATCCGTGCTATGAACTTTTGTCGTTGTTGGCTATCGACCAGGTTGAGCTCGAAGACCCTGTAGAAAATATTGGAGCTAAATTGGTTAGGCAAGCTGCTGCTAAGACAAATGACTTGGCTGGTGATGGCACAACCACATCGGTCATCCTTGCTCAAGGGATGATCACCGAGGGTGTTAAGGTACACCAATACAAACGTCTTGTGTCTTGTCTTTTATAGCATAATTATTTTATATATTCGATTCGGTAAATAATGTTAGATTTGCTTACTTTCTCCAGATTGTAGGTGCTGGTGCTAATCCAGTACAGATTGCCCGTGGTATCGAGAAAACAGCCAAAGCACTAGTCTATGAGCTCCAGAAGATGTCCAAGGAGGTTTAGATTTGCTAATCTATTGTTCAGTTCCAGAAATACATTCATTCTGAATTCTATATCACATTTCCTCTATCAATCTATGATAAATACTCGGCCGATCTTGTAATGCAACAAGAAAATGCATCGGATTATAGTAACTTCTGCTCCCTATGCTAATTATTAACGGAGCAGATGACTCACCCCTAGGCCCTAACTACCATTCATGAGTATTAACCCATTGTTATCATTTTCAGGAGCCCTAATCCTCATTTGAATCTCATATATTAATTTTCAACGGGAGTACCCTCTATTTGAAATTCAAATTTGCCAATTTGCATTAAATACTGCAGGTTAAAGATAGCGAACTTGTCGATGTTGCTGCTGTAAGTGCTGGAAATGATTATGCAATTGGCAACATGATAGCTGACGCTGTGAGCAAGGTTGGGCGACATGGGGTAGTCACGCTCGAAGAAGGAAAGAGTTCTGAAAACAGCCTCTATGTGGTCGAAGGGATGCGATTCGACCGCGGCTATATTTCTCCCTACTTTGTGACCGACGGTGAAAGAATGACAGTGGAGTATAACAATTGCAAGGTCTGTCACACATTGTCTTGGCAGTTCGTCTACTTATTTCAGTTAGCACAATCTCCATGAGTTATGTAATCTTAAGCTGATATATTTATAATATTGCTCAGCTCCTTCTTGTGGACAAGAAAATTAACAGCGCCAAAGATCTTATCACTATTCTAGAGGACGCTATTACGAGTGGATATCCAGTTTTAATAATTGCAGAGGACATTGAGCAGGAAGCCCTTGCAGCCCTCGTGCTCAACAGGCTTAGAGGCTCACTACAGATTGCTGCTATAAGAGCCCCTGGTTTCGGGGAGCGCAGGAGTCAATACCTCGATGACATCGCCACTCTGACAGGAGGTGGGTTTGATGTTTGGTGTGATACGATGCATCCCGTTGTGATATTTGTTCAGTTATAACAGTCAATCTTCATGTAGGCACTGTCATCAGAGACGAATTTGGAGTACCCCTGCATAAAGCAGACAAAACTGTCCTAGGAACTGCTGCCAAGGTTGTAATTACTAAAGATTCAACAACAATAATTGGAGATGGTACTACACAAGAGGAAGTAATCAAAAGGGTGACACAAATCAAGAACCAGATTGAGGTCAGTATATTGTGAACTTATTGGATGCTCCATATTTCCGTATGCATCTTTCTGATGCAGAGGCCGGGGAACTCCCCTTTTCAAAAAAAAAAAAAAAAAATTGGATGCTCCATATTTCCAGCATATATAGTTCAATTAGCTTGTCCCGCGCAAGTGTGTGTCTCACTTAAGTGTGGATGAAAATACCCTGACTAAAATTTCGTTCCGAAACTTTTTTTTTCAGGCTACTGAACATGAATATGAAAAAGAAAAGCTAAAAGAGAGGATAGCCAAATTATATGGTGGTGTTGCTATCATTCAGGTACAGCCGATGTTCATGCTGAGATATCTATTGATATAGTAGGCAACAATTCCAGAAATACACCCAGTAGTGCACTTTTTAGGTTGCATTAGAAGAAATAATAGCTATGACATAATACATCTTGGTTTGTAGGTAGGAGCACAGACTGAAACCGAGCTAAAGGAAAAGAAACTGAGGGTCGAAGATGCGCTGAATGCAACAAAGGTAATGTTTTCTCCTGGTTAAATTCCAATTGGTTTTTAGGATTTGTGTACCTTTGATATCATTCAGAGGGCCTTCTAGTGCATTCTAGAATTGTGTTGATTTTAGTTTTACAACAAAACCTATATGTACTCATTTCTTTGTTAATTGACTACCTTTCTTTGTGGGCAGGCGGCTGTTGAGGAAGGTATTGTCGTTGGTGGTGGTTGTACCCTCATAAGACTTGCATCAAAAGTTGATGCTATTAAACAAACCCTTGAGAATGATGAACAGAAGGTATGAAAAAGTTAATGGGATCCTCTTTCGCAAGGTTTCAGTAACAGAATTCTGTATTTAGTTCAAGGCGTTGTTTTCTTCCCTCGCACTGAACTAATCACCTCTTCGTATTTTCAAGGTTGGGGCTGAAATTGTGAGGAAGTCCTTAAGTTATCCACTTAAACTGATTGCAAAAAATGCTGGCATTAATGGCAGCGTAGTTATTGAGAAGGTTTGGAACTCAAATTTGTTTTCAAATATGAATTTGATATTCAAAAACTTGAGCATAACCAATTTGGAGCATTCAGGTCCTTGCCATTGACAACTCCAGCTATGGTTACAATGCCGCTACAGGAAAGTACGAGGATTTGATGGCTGCTGGTATTATTGATCCAACCAAGGTATGTGCTTGCAGAAGCAATGTTCTCTTTGACCACGTCATATAACCGATGCTCTCATATGAGGATGCTATGGTACACTTTTTTCAAGATAATGTACCTGAAAAATCCTAGAGTCCATTATGTTTTGTCGGGAAATGGCGATTGGGTGTTTATCCTAACTGACATATAATTGCATTTGTAACTATGCTGAAACAATAAGCATGGAACCCATAAACTTTGAAGGGGTGACCAGTTTGATGAGACCTTTCTAAGGGGGATTCTATGTACCTCCTTATTTGCATCCAACTATTTTCTTTATCCTCCTTTCTGTGCATAAGCATCAAGCTCAAACAAAAATTAACTGGATTTTGCATAAACAGGTGGTGAGGTGTTGCTTGGAGCATGCTGCATCGGTGGCGAAAACTTTCATCACCTCTGACGCTGTTGTCGTCGACATAAGGGCGCCTAAGTGTGCACCTGTTGTGAACCCGATGTGCGGTTCAGGTATACAGAGACAATCTGCTCATCATCGTCTGCTATTTCTTACTCAGGAATCAATATGGTCTTTCTAACTTGTTTTAATTTTTTGTACAGGTTATGGATTCTAATTTAGGACAAGTGCTATGCATTCCTGTGCCTCGGCAGCATGCTATATCAGAGGCAGAACTACTGTGTTATGTTTTGAGAAATAAATTTATTACTTGTTATGGCGAGTCAAAGCCGCAATCAATAGTTTATTTTATAGTCCTAAAAGTGAATGATGAGAGTTGCATGGAATATTGTAGCTACATAATATTCACAGTTGTTCCTTTCGAGCATTTGTTCCTTAACTGAGCGTAGGCTTGTGGTAATGATGATGTTCCATGTATGGATTAATTCGATACACTCTTCGCATGAAAGGTTTCGCAATACTCGCAGTTGTTCGTTTGTGCATTTGTTCCTTAACTGAGCGTAGGCTTGTGGTAATGATGATGTTTCATATCTGGATTCGGTAGACTCTTTGCATGGAAGGTTTCGCGCCACAGTGGTGCGACTTGATTGCTAGGTTCCTCATAAGCGGTAACATGGCGAATTGGTGATTAAAGTCAATGATGATATTGGTCGTTGCTTTCAGACTAGGAAGGGTCTGAGGCAGTGCGGTCCAATGTCTCCCATCATTTTCAACCTTGTCGCTAACATGTTAGCTATCCTCATTGCACACAGGCTAATAGAGATGGGCAACTTAGTAGACTTACGCATCTCCTAGATGGTGGTATAACCATTCTTCAGTGTGTCGATGACACTTTTCTATTCATGGAACCCGACATGAAGAAAGCAGCGAATGTGAAACTCGTTTTATGCATTTTGAGCAACCTTTTGGTCTAAAAAAATATTTTTTTCATAAAAGTGAGATATTTTGCTTCGGTCAGGCTAAGGAGGTTGAGGACAAATATAAGGAGTTATTTGGGTGCAAGTCATGATTTTTCCCATTCCGTTACCTTGGTACCCCTGTTAATTTCTGGAAATTCTCGAATAAGAAGTGAAAAAAGGATAGAAAACATCAAAGCAGTGCTCACCAGCCTACCAATGTTTTGTCCTTTGAAATACCTAATGGGGTGAACAGATTCGACTATTACAGATTTCGTTTTCTCTGGCTACGTGATGAACATAAGAAGAAATATCGATTAACCAAGTGAGGCATTATTTGCAGACCAAAGACCATGGTGATCTCGAGTGGATCTGGAATCCAAAATAAATGTTTGTCAACAAATGGTTGTTCAACCTTATAAATGAAAATGTAGTCTGGCAGGAGTTGCTCAACAAATATCTGCATTCAGAAAGTGTCTCAAGTGACAATAAAACCAACAAATTCACCATTCTCGAAGGGTCTATTAAAAGTCAAGGAAGACTTTTTCTTAGTAAGGGCTCATACTTAGTTGCTGATGGACGAGCACTAGGTTAGCCAACAGTGCCCTTCTCTGTATAACATTGTGCAATGGAAACATGATACTTCTCATCAGACTCTTATCAGGTGATAAGGGAACTGATTGGTTACAAATGGTCCAGTCGCTTGTTGATGTTAGTTTGTTTCAGGAGACGGATGCTTTCCAGCGGCAACTTCATACTTCGGGGATGTTTTTGTTGAAGTCCATGTATGCGGACATGGTAAATGACAATCATGTTTTCCATAGAAAATTCATTTCGAAGTTGAAAGTCCCGCTAAGGGTTAAGATATTCTTTTGGGCCTGTGTAGAGAGTGGTCTTAACTAAGGATAATTTAGTGACACGTAATGGGAATGGTAGCACAAAATATTGTAAAAAAAAGTTAATATGACATCTGATTTATGGCCAAAGAGCAAAAATGAAAACAAGGACGAAGAATGTTTTCAATACTCTTGACTAATATATCAATGCAGAATAAGTCTAAGTCTATTCTCAAGCCACAATATTCAGAGCTCTCTGAAACTTGACAGTTACCTGGGTGCACAGAGTGCCGATGCATCTTTCTTCAGCGAACTGCACAATGACGATGAGAAGCAATGCTCATTTCGGAAAACTGGTTCGTGTTTATGTTCAGAAGGATCATTTAGAAGATTGTACAATCTTAACGGCTACTGATGACACCGTTTTCAGTGGTCGCAGCGAACGACATCAGGTGACCCGTATGAGCATAACCACCATGACAAACATGCAGGTCATCAGAAAAATGAGCAACCACTGGAAGCAGGTTGTCTTGGAGGCCAGCGAGTAGACCTCAGAGGCTCGCGCCGTTGCGCTGCCGGTGCTCGCCAAGCTATGCTCCATGGCTCTCTCAGTGGAATCAAGGATCTGCATCAGTAGTACCCAGCAAGTGAGCTTTCTCAGTAAACATCCACAAAAAGGGAGCTGAGGGAACTTCATCAACAGAAGAAACAACTCACAAGGCAACAGAAAAACCTACCTTCTCTGTATCTTGTACGGATTGGTTCACTACAAGGCTACTTTTCTTCAGCTGACGTGCTAAGTCAACCATTTCGTCTATCAGACTGTCTTGCAGGTCCCTGTGCAGTTAGAAATCCAACACAGTAAGAGGATATCCACCAAGTATAAATGCTTAGGTCTTAAAACATCACAAGAACATGTAATGATCGAACATAGCATTGATTATACCTACACTTTTCATGACAGCAAGGTGAGTCAATGAACAAATCAGTAAACTGGTTACTCATGCAGATAAAAGATGATGAGGGCACTAAGCCAGATTCTCGGGTCCACAAGAAACTTTGCCAAAAAAGGGGGTGCATACCTATGCTTCTCAATGTTAGCCTGAGCTTCTGCATCCAATTTAATAGGCCCTCCAGTCTCTCTTTCTTTTCTATCATGACTGCTTGTACCAGCTTCCACCTGAGCCCTACTTATTTGCATCCATTAGTTCATTAGCTGTAACTGTAAGAAAAAGAAACAAATAAAAAAGGGGCAAGATTTTACTTACGTTGATCTCCTTCGCAATCCTGCTGACAAGGATATTGGACTCTCAGCCTTTTCTCTTTCACAAGAGCTTTCTTCTTTGATCTCATCAACTGGATTTTCATTTTCTTTCTGCATCCAAAAGATAGTAATGGAGGTGTATCTAGAAGCTAGACTGTATGAGTAATGCTGGCATGTACTGATCTGAGAAACCAGTTTAAACAGAGAGTGGGGACAGCATAAATATGAATCAAAGTGATAAAAAAATACCACTGAAGCAGCCAGTGTGGCAGCTAGTGCTTCAATCTTTTCTGAATACTCACTGAGCTTAGTTTTTGAAACCCTGAATCAAGAAAATACTCATGAATAAACATGGTCTCGTCATGGGGAAATATACATAAACAGCAAAAGCTAACTTTGCTATCCTCCGGAGATTAATATGACCAGACATTCTCATCATCAAAATGCAGAGCACTGAATGGAAGGTCATAAAGACATACTCTGAACCTCGTATAAGGTTTCTCTTGTCAAGTAAGAAATGTATCCTTACATATACGCTATCCAGATTTTTATGAATAGTTTGCTAATAAATCCAAAAGAACAGGAGTGTCCATATTGACATGCCTTCATTGAGTGTGTGTGGGGGGAAGAGAGGCATGGATCAAAAGGGCACGTCAGCCAGTGTAAGCTCAGGAAAACTTCAAATATGCAAGGGGAAAACTATACTGGTATTAAAATTAAGGAGTTCCTATCATTTATAAAATTGTGGGTCCTCAACAAATGTTAGCTGGAACACAGATTGCAGGCTGTACCACAGTCAACATATTAATATTCCCAAAAGGCATACAAAACTATGTCCTCTGAGAACACAGAAACCCATAGAGTACCTTGATACTCATTCAGTTGTAATTTCTGCTCCAAGCTGCTCCAATAGCTCCCTGGCTGTGGATACGTACTGCAATTAGAGGCTGTCAGTGCCAGCACATGCCGGACCAAGTGATAAAGATTAAAGAGAGAATATTCACCAGCGATCGTCCGTTAAAACTGAACAAAAACATAACGAAGCAAAGCAAATTCCATCACTGAAATTTCCTTACATTCATTCTAACAACAGCAAAAGGATTCACAGGTATTCTGTATCTTACTTCTCCAGCTAAGTTACAGAACATAGCGTGCTCAAACGTTGAACAGAAACGGAGCATGGCGCAAATCTAATAAGGTTAGAGGAGCTACACTTACATGGGCAAGCTTGGCCTGATTCTGCTGCCGAGGAGCCTCCTGAAGCAGCCTTCTCAGGTTCACTTCCACCTTGCTGAACACCATGATCAGGACCACCAATACCTGCTGAATCATTTAAATGGGGCTCACCATATTACACCAAATGTAGAGGGGCGAAAACAGATTTCAGATTTAAGCAAGTCTATTTTGGCTTCTAACAGTAATATCAAACAATCAGAGAAGTGCTACAGAATAGTCAGACACTCAGACCAGCAATGGTGAGAGACTACATACAAGATTGTGAGGAAATTGAGTTCATTCACTATTAAGGATCTTTACAAGAGGATATGAGCATACAAGGTGTGATCAATGGTCAGGTCAACTGTAGGAAGCAAGAAAAGAAACAGTTAAACTACTACTAGAACATTTGTATGAAACTTGATGCAAAGTTCTTCAGATACGCATCGGCCACAGACTCACAGTATCTTGCACATCTGAATCCAACCACTGATTTAACCAATAAATCTGATGAATATAGCAAGCTAGTTCAGTCAGTAAATCACCGAGCCTGACCTCTCACTGTAAATCAAGAATGACAAGCGTGACCAAAAATCAGTTTGGTTTCATGCCTGGGAGGTCGACCATGGAAGCCATTTTCTTGGTACGACAACTTATGGAGAGATATAGGGAGCAAAAGAAGGACTTGCATATGGTGTTCATTGACTTGGAGAAGGCCTATGATAAGATACCGCGGAATGTCATGTGGTGGGCCTTGGAGAAACACAAAGTCCCAGCAAAGTACATTAACCTCATCAACGACATGTACGATAATGTTGTGACAAGTGTTCGAACAAGTGATGTCGACACTGATGACTTCCCGATTAAGATAGGACTGCATCAGGGGTCAGCTTTGAGCCCTTATCTTTTTGCATTGGTGATGGATGAGGTCACAAGGGATATACAA